ACATGCCATGATTTAAAACTGTGCATGCTCCGTGCAATGGTGACAAACTGCATACATTTTTAATATCCATAGGCAATGTTTTAAAAGCCTTTACTAGCTACCATTTTAGATTTACAGAGGAGGTCTAGTGTTAGAATTACTGCCCTTGATCTGATGTTCACGGAGATAACTCACATGCATGGTGCAACTGCTGTTTACATACCGACACAGGGTCAACAGGTGTTCACGCATGCTGGGGGGGGAGGTTTTTTTTTAAAGTTTTTTTTGAGTTTTTTAATTATTTTTACACTGTCCCTTTCATTTTTTTTATCACTTTTAATGCTATCACAGGGATTGCAAATATTCCCTATAACTTCAATTGGCATTGTAATATATTCCTTTTTGAGAAATCTGGGGTCTATCAAACTCTAGATATCTCCTCTGCCCTTACATTATCTAATCAAACCAAGATCGGTGTGGTCAGATGCTTTCCCAATTTACAAATGGTGCTGTTTATATCCTGCGAAACTGAAGTGATGAAATGCTTGCAGCTTCCGATTTCTTAGACTATAGAGATTATTGGCACCATTCTGGTCTTCAATCAGCTCTATGGTCAGTCAGCAGAAACACCGGCTGCATTCTCAGGTTCCCCCGATGGCACGGGACTGCCCGAGAAGGCCGTGGAAGTCAGGGGGGGAGGGGGGCATCATCTCCCACTGCTTGTAAAAGCAACCCTGCAGCTAATTAGCCACTAGGATTGCTTTTACATGAAAGCCTATCACCTGCTGAAAATAATGATACCAGGATGATGCCTGCAGCTGTAGGCAATATCCTGGTATAACCATTCAAAGTCCAGTGATGTACCAGTACATCGCTGATCCTTGTTGGGTGTATATGCTATGTTCTTTTTTTTTTTTTTTGTATGCAGCCTGTGGGCTGAATGAAAAAAAGAGAAGAAATCTCTGCCAGAAAAGGTGTATGGTATGCCCATCATTAGAATATACCGCCCTACATCCACCCTCTTCTAATGGTGGGCACACATTAGGTCACACAGTACCACATGCGCCAGTTCCAAGATTGTACAAATGTCTAAATAGTGGCACGCTTGAATAAAAATTGTCCACATATAAGTGGTACCCCATATGGAAAAAGGATGATACCAAAGTCTCAAACTATCTTGCCACTGATCCCCATGTAGTCTGGGCATCCGGGGGGCTCCACGTGACTATCTTTTCCCTCGTAAATCTGAAACTCATATGTATAGCCTGTTGTCCTCTCACAGGTCTTATACATCTTTGACCCCAGATCAATTAAGGTCAAAGAATTTTGTGGAGCCGGTCAAATTCAGGGTCACCTCTAGGACAACAGAGTGTATTGTCATTGAAATGTATAAAACACATTATACTCTCATATGGCCATGGCAGCAGAGAACTCGGGCATATGAGGAATCGGGTCTGTGGAGCAATACAACCGCAATTAATTTTTTTTTAGTAATGCCTATGTTGAAGGTTAGGCCCCAAAATAATTTAAATTCGGAAACCGTAATGACTTTCCATGCGAATGGTCTGGCAAGGTTGGAATTTGGGTTGGCGGCGATAAATTGTTGTGCATATAAATTGCTTTAATCCACAATCAATGCATACAGATCTTCCGTGAAAAACAGCTCCAAAAAAATCAAGGGGAGTAGTTAACTTTGCTGTTTCCACCTGAATTCCGTGTTGGGCAGTGAATGGGGGAAGTACGGGTGCTGCAGAATTTGTGGGCTGTCAATCGGGATTTGCAAGCACATCCGGAAGGATTCTAGGGGCTCTACAGGCCGGTGTGCGAATTCTTGGTGGCTGCGGGACAATACTTGTGCTTGTCACCGCACCAGCTTGTACTGCACTTATGGGACTCGCCACATCACCAAGTGATACTGCAGTGCTGGTATTATCATTATTATTATAATACAGGATTTATATAGCGCCACCAGTTTGCTCAGCACTTTACAATATAACAGGAGACAATACAGCAACAATACAGTTCAATACTAGAGGGTTAGGAGGGCCCTGCTCCTTGGAGCTTACAATCTAAGAGGTATGTGAAAGACCAGGATGTACTAGGTCGCTGGTGCTCGCCAGTTCACCAAAAAAGTAGTGTGGCACTAGTACTGGCATATGAGAGTCAGCAAAATTTACTGACAAGTGCTAACAGAGATCAGGCCTGATTCTGTGAATACTGCGGTTTTGTGTGCAATGTATCAAGTGACAGTGACCTACGGTCACTGCACTTGCTGGGGGAAAGGGGGGGGGGGGTAAGCGTAGGGGTTAAACGCAGGTGCTGGCAGGTGCCGGGGCTGATCCCGCTAACGCTGCATTTTTGGGGACACTAAAATATTGATATTGATCCGTTCAGACACTATACTAGCAATGGAGGTTTATTGTGTACGAGCATGGCAATCAAGTGGTTAAATGTGAATACTGGTGTACTGACGGGCAATCTCATGCTATCTGGGAGGGCATGAAAACTACGGGAGCACGAATCATGTATATATATGTGATTTTTTGCACCCATGCCGCCCTGTAGCAGTATTTCTGCTATAGTGCGGTCAGGAAGCGGTTACAGAAGCAGTTTGTGTTATGTTGCTGCGTTACTTTAACTGACATTTGCACAGTCATTCAACACTGCACCAAAATTAAATTTACATCCTTTTTTCCCCACAAATTGAGCTTTCTTTCGGGGGTATTTAATCATCTGTGCGTTTTTTATATTTTTTTGTGCTATAAAAAAAAAGTCTGACAATTTTGAGAAAAAAAACAATATTTTGGACTTTTTGCTATTAAACATGTCCAGTAAAAAATTTAAAAATCTAATTCCGTCATAAATTTAGGTCAAAATGTAATCTGTGACATGTCTTTGCTAAAAAAAAAATCCCAATACATGCAAATTAATTGGTTTATGTGAAAGTTATAGCATCTACAAATGGTGCTATATATATTTGGATTTTTTTTATACTAATAAGGGCGGCGATCAGCGATTTATGGTGGCAATCAGCGACTTATGGCAGGACTGCGGCGGACATTCTGACACTAGGAGGGAACTGACTTGGGGTCACTGACATCCCCAGTGACACCAATACAGTGATCAGTGCAAAAAAAAAACCCACTGACACTGTACTAATGGCACTGGGAAGGAAGGGGTTAACATTTGGAGGCAATGAAAGGGTTAACTGTGTGAGGGGAGTGTTTTACTAGGGGGAAGAGGGGTTTTCTTCACAGGAACACACTGATCCGGAAAGCTGAACTCTGCTATCCGGAACAGTGTGCTGCAAACTGACAGGGAGGAGAGCTGCAGTGTAAACAATGCAGCCGTCCTCTCTGTCAGTGATTGCCGGGAATCGCCGGGCTTCGGCGGGTAATCTCTGGCCGGGACTCGGTGATTGACACCTGCGGCCGTGATCGGCTCACATGCCCCCTACCCGATATGCAAAATCAAGTACTGTATATATATATGTGATTTTGCACAGCAGTGCCGCTCTGCTGCAGTAAATGTACTATGGCTGGCCGGCAACCGTTTAATATAGTTAATTATATCTTTTTTTAAATTAACTGTTATTTGTGACACAGGAATAAGGAGTTTTTTTTGTGAATACAGACTGTGGTACTGTTTGTTATTCCTCTCCTTTAAACCCTTACTGCCTAAGGGTAAAACAAATGTTAATGCCTAAGCACAGTCTTGCAACTTTGACATGTGCTAGTAAAACTGTACATATCGTCGCAACTACTTTGTGTATCCAGGAGGATTATACCTTTTTGCTGGATAAATTGGGCTTTCTTTTGGTGCTAAAAGGGTAACGGATATCTCCTGATTATTTTAAAGGCAAACTGGCTCAAAATAGTAGATAAAATAATTGTTTGTAATTTAGCTGTATATTTCTTTTTAATACCGTAATTTACCACCAATGTACAACCCAAAATAAATTCTAGATAAATTTGAAAATCCTCACACACTGCCGCAGGATTCAACTAAGAATATGCAGTTAAACCGTGAACTGCTGCACACACCAAACGTGCTTCCACACCATTATATAATAGTTGGTCCAAAATAAATTCCCCTGCTCCCGATGATCGTAGTAGTGATACTATATATGTGCATGTTTATTGTTTGTACCCGCAGTAGGGTCCATAAACAATGATACGCATTTTACATTCACTGCAAATCTTGTTTCTGTTTTCCAGCCCAGAGGGCCCCAGGTCCTTCGTTATCATTGCCATACTCACATTTTGGCGTACTCTGTTGACTTTTTAACTGTAAAATCAGAAGGATTCCTTTTATGGGCATTGTTAACATTTATGTATTGTTTATATAGTTTAAATATTGATGGAATGGAGTCTTGCTTTTATTAGTGTATTTAAAAGTGGGCATGGTTAGCAGGGTGTCACTGGATTTCACTATGAAAATCTGGTAACCTTAGTATACAGTATATAACCATATAATGAGTGAAATGACAAACATATTACAACCAGCTGTGAATCTTCAGTATATCTAAAGCCAGAACTTTTATTTTTAATCTGGGATAGAGTAGAGTTTTTATTTTGCAATATATGTCCCATTTAGGAGATTTTCATTCACATCCTGTAATTTACCACTTGCCTACTGGGCACTTATACCCCCTTCTTTACCAGGCCAATTTTCAGCTTTCAGCGCTGTCGCACTTTGATTGACAATTGCGTGGTTATGCAAGATTGTACCCATATGCAATTTTTATCATTTTTTTCTCACAAATAGAGTTTTCTTTTGGTGGTATTTAATCGCCGCTGGGCACTTTACTTTTTGCGCTATAAACAAAAAAACTGCAAAAAATTAAAAAAAAAGTTTCTTTCCATTATAAAATTTTTCAAACAGGTAATTTTTCTCCTTCACTGATGTGCGTTGATGAGGCAGCACTGATGGGCACTAATAGGCAGCACTGATGGGCACTGATAGGCGGCACTGATAGGCAGCACTAATGAGGTGGCACGGATAGGCGGCACTGATAGGCAGCACTAATGAGGTGTCACGGATAGGTGGCACTGATAGGCAGCACTAATGAGGTGTCACGGATAGGTGGCACTGACTGGCATCACTGCTGGGCACTGACTGGCGGCACTGCTAGGCATTGACTGGCGCAACTGCTGGGCACTGACTGGCACAACTGCTGGGCAACTGACTGGGGCACTGACTGGCAGCACTGCTGGGCTGCACTGATGGGCACTGGTGGGTGGCACTGGTGGGCACAGGTGGGTGGCACTGGTGGGCACATGTGGGTGGGCACAGGTGGGTGGCACTTCTGGGCACATGCAGGTGGCACTTCTGGGCACAGGTGTGTGGCACTGCTGGGTGGCACAGGTGGGTGCACTGCTGGGCACAGGTGGGTGCAGAGCTGGGCACAGGTGGGCACACTGCTCGGCACAGGTGGGCAGAACTGGTGGGTGGCACTGCTGGGCACCGATCCCTGCTCTGACAACTGCTGGTTCTCGCCAGCATGAGGAAAGTGCAGTCGAGAACCGACAATTGCATTTCCCAGTGATCAGCGTGTCATTAGACACGGCTGATCACATGTGGTAAAAGGCCGCTGTGATTGGCCTCTTACCACATCACATGATCAGCTGTGTCCGTAGGACACAGCGATCATGGATATCGCAGGGTGCACGCCCCCAGGGGCACGCAGGAGAGCGTGTTCTGGGGGGACGTCATATGACGCCCTACCAGAACTGGCCGGCTGCAGTGTAGCCGTCATTCGGCTATCTGCGGTTGGCAAGTAGTTAAACAACAGAAAGTGTAAATGAAGTGAAGTAAATCTTTACAATGTAAGGAAGGTTTCATCTCAAACATTTTTCACCAAAGCAGGTATCCCTATTGGAAGGTTTCCCCTTTACTCATGGTCTGCAATTACTATTTCTCTGCTTAACCACTTCCTGTCCATTCACCATTTATAAACTGTGGTGGGTTGAAGCAGTCATACCAGGATCATGACTGCACTTACAGTCATGATCCTAGTATTGTTTTTTTCAGTCAGCAATTCTCTTTTATGTAAAAGTGTTCCTAGTGGCTACACTTTCACTAGATCACTTTTACAGGCAGAGGAAAGGGGTCCCCCCTTCCTGGTTCTGTGTTAACCTAAGCACTGGAATACCCTATCATGCCCTTAATGCTCAAGAGAAAAGATAGGGTTCATTGATTCTGTTATCATGAAAACTGGTTATTGGTTGTATATGCTTCAGTCCCAATTGTTATTTGGAAAAAGTTTTCTTTGTTTCTTTCAGTAGCTATCTTCACATGTAATATTATGGTGGACTGACATGTTTTCAAATGAACTATGTCTCAAAATAATTATGTATGTACAATGTACCACTATTTTGTTCTAGAATGTACACTATAAAAACGTTTTGAAAAAAAATGTATTGTGACCCTATTACAGGAGTAAAATAATAACTGACAGGGTCAACGGGTAATAAAACTGTGTAACTGTGTTACTGGGGTTCATAAAAACAGAAACTGCTGTATAAATGCTAGTGACAGATTATGTCATCATTTTTATTTTTTATTTTGCCATAGTTCCACTTTGAGTAGCACTGTAAAATTTTGACATAAAATAAAAGGGTAATTTCACCTTTATCAAAAAGCACACTATGCTGTCCCATATGGCTATGGCAGCTTCCAGGCAGGGCTCCCCTCCCTTTCAGTTCAAAGAATGTGGGCCAAAACTGCATTATAAATAAACATTCCTAAAATTGTATACAGCCTGTGAGGGCTCCTTATTGAAAAATAGTACGGACAGAGTATCCATTGGGATCAGCACCCCCTAGTGCCATGGAGTGCCATGTTGTCCTGTTTCTTTGGGCCACATATGCACAGTGCATACCCTGTAACCTATAATAAGCTTAGATCCTGCAACAGAAAAGAGTACACACTGTGTATGTGCTGCCTTCAAGAACAGGACGGCACACCCTTCCATGGCACTATGCTCCATCCCTATAATAACATATAATGGAGATGTCAGGTTGTAGAACATTTTAAGCAGTCTTCTTTTTAATGTGGTTTTGGCCTATAAAACTTTAAACTGAAAGGGAGCTTTGAACTTACACACTAACTACATTTTGAACCTATTAAAATAATATGTGTATTTCTAGAAATCTCCTGTTCATTTGCTGGTTCTCTAAGGTTCCTGCTGTTTGTAGCATAGATGATATATGATACAATTTACCTGGTTTTCATTGTTGTTTCTATATTCACATTATTTTTTAATTGTATTATTTTCCCTCACGGAGTTTTTAACTAGCATACTTTTTAGTCATAGTTGTATTTTGATTTATGAAATATGGATATAGTCACAAAATGTTTGGTTGTTTGTGCTACAATATAGCCTGCACAAAGCTTTCAAGTCAGCGTATTTACCTTGCAGGGATATCAGCAGGGTGGAATGCTGTTTTGATGCAAAAATATGTGGGTCAATCAAGATGCAATTTTCTTTCCTCCCCCACTGTGAAAATAAACATTGATAAAATCTATCATTCTATTCCATCTGGTAGTAAGTGAATTTGTCAGTGACAGAAACAAAGGCTATAATTAAACTTAAAGTCTTTACACCATTTTAAGAGACATAATTATTTGGTTCACACCACTGAGGTTGATATAAGCTGGATTTTGTCTCTGTGGGGATTGGACCCCCAATTTCATTAGCATCCCACTATTATCTTCAAGCTCTTTGCAGTCTGGTATTCTGTATGTCTCTTTATGCTTTTAATAAAGGTCCAGATTTTCAATGTGATGCTGTAAAATCGGTAAACCTGTAAATCAACATATGGCCTATTAACATAAACTGATTTACAATATTTACTGAAAGTACTTGAGCTATAAGATATATGTTATCTTGTTAAATAGAATGAATCATTGATGGTTTGAAGTGTATCTAAACCCTAAAGCAAAAATGTTATGTATTTCAGCTTACTATGCGGTGGCTGCATTAGCCATATTGATTATAGAAGTCAAGGTGTGTACATCCATCGAGTGGTTATGCATACAAAAAACACTGTAATCTCTATAATTTACTGTCTTGGGGAAAAATTTTCAGGATCTGGTTCTACAATTGAAAACAATACTGCAATATACTGTATGTTAAAGGCCTATCCTTGTGTACTACTAATAATTTGTATTTGTATTGCTAGAGAGATAAATTGTGCACATTTTTTACCAATAGTGCAAACCCATCAGATCTGTCATTTACAGCCTGTTATCCCACCGATGGGAAGGGATGCTACTTGCACAATGAGACCTGTAAAAAGAGGAGGGGGTATATACAAGATACTTCCCAGCCTAATATAAATAGGCTGAAAGATATCTTGTATTTTACCACCCTCCTCTTTTAAGATTTAATAATATGATTTTTTACAGGTGCACTTTTGTGCAATATATTCTTATCTGCAATTCAGAGCAAGATTATTAATTTGAAGAATAGGATCATTAGATTGCGTTATAGCATCCCAAGTGTTTTCTGGGCTGCTTGCAGATGTGAGGGCAGGTCAGGCATTTAAAAAATAACTGCTGTGTTCCTCCAAGTGATAGAATCAACTGAGAGGCTAAGGATGGCAGTGTATTGCTACATCACTATCTATAGAAGGCTCATTGCTTTTCCCTCCTTGCCCTTCCTCTTCATCTAGATAAGTATATAATTGATCATGAAAGTATACAAGACCCTGTCTGGCACACAATTTAGAACTGCCAAGGTGCTGCAGATGGGTGATTACAGAGGTTGTCATTGAGGTGATTGATTAGATTAGGAATAGGCTTTGTCTTTTTATCCACCACCACCTACATTCACTCTTCTTTTCAACTACTGGGGAGACCATAACTCTACATTGCTGTTCGTTATGGCACCAAAAAAATCTTTAATAGACTTAAGCAATTCTGATCTGAGAAAAAAAGTTAACCGAGAAGCTTTAAAATTTATGTTGCTTGTCTTTACAAGACAAATGGTAGTAGTCTTATATATTGATGGGGAGGGGAATGCTGTGATTCTTTCTAATGCAAGAAAATAACATCTATGTGTGATAGTGTAATTTTTAAAGCATATAACTATTCATGTTTGTGGTCAGGTGCAGGTGCTTTTTTGCAGTCTATAAAAAGGTACAATATGAGTCAAGGCAGTATGGGGTAGTTTTGATAGATTCATTTTAAAGAACACAAAAGAAATGGCATCAGCATTCATAAAACTAGTTTATAGATTACTAAAATGTGGTGAAGGCTCCAGAGTCAGATTAAGACCAAACAAGGCCCTTAACATCCTAAAAGTTTGGCATTCCCCGCCCTAAACCTTTCATATGCATACTCTGATTACATATTTCAATAACTGAAGAAAATGTTTTATCTGCAAATTTTCTATATTACTTTATTACTACATTATTCTGTGATAGATTTTAAGCTATTCAACCTTCTATATTCTCTATAAACCCTTCCATCCGCTGTATCTCCCCTTATGCTCTAATGTGCTGTAAGCTCCTCAGCATTCTGTATCTTCCTTTGTACCCTAATAGACTGTAAGCTTTTCCACTTTCTCTATCTTGCCTTATACACTAACAGACTGTAAGATCTTCAACCTACAATCATTCTATGCTTACAGGCCTCAGTTGCAACAGCAGAGGAGTGTAATGTGACGGTAATGATGTAATGAACATCAGATCACCACAACGTTCTTCTCTGTTTTCGCTGCTTGGCCCATCAGAGTAACATGGTGACTAGAAGCAGTGAGGATAAAAAAAGTTGTACATTGTAGTTTGTACTACTGGTAAATGGATAATCTGTTCACACTAGATACAGTATATCCAGTTTCAAATTTGGATGTACAGGCAAAACAGTGGAAAGCTAAGATACCCAAAATATGCAGTATGTATGTATGCCAGAGATTTAGAGGTGTTTTTTTTTTTTTTTTATTTTGTACGTTGTATTAGACTCATAATGCCTTCTCTGCCTACAAAACTTGCAGACTGGGAATGCAGGGTTCCTGATATTCTGCACCCCTGCCTGCTGATCGAATTTTGACAGCTCAGTTGCATGCTCAGTCAATATGCAGATTGCATATTGATATGCATTTTAAAGTATCAGTAAAGTAATGATTAGACAAATTACATTTAGCGGTGTTGTATCAAAAGTGTGACTAAATTAAATGTGTTTACAATAACACTAATCATAACCAATTATTATAAATAGACCAGTATGCATATTCAGTAAAACTGTAAAGATTTGACTTGTATATGCCATAGTAATGAAGAACTTAGTTCCTAATGCTAGACATTACTGAAACTAGTTCTATGAGCAATACTTTTTTTTTCATTTTGTATAGAGTAAGGGAGAGTTTTAACCCCTGTCAGTTTTTTGCCATTTGTGTCTCATTGGAGAGATTTACCTTGACTCCCTTACCTT